ATATGTATTGAATAAATATATGTCACACACACTCAACCTCATAATCAACATTTCATTACCCTCAGTATCTTCACTTAACAAATTTTAAAAGGAAAACCCATATAGCTTCTGTTACTTCTTTTCATCACACTTTTTTTTTTTTTTTTAATTTACTGCCAGTTTATTTGAAATTAAAATTTATAGTTTAAAATTTTTTGTGTAATAAAAGAAAAAAAAAATTGAAATTTAACAAAATTATTAAAACAACACTGTTACCTGTTTTATTTTGTTAAGAAAAAAAAAAAAAGATCAATTTTGATGCTTTTTTTTTTGTCATTTACTGCCAGTTTATTTCAAATCAAAGTTTATTGTTTAAAATTTTTTGCGGAAATAAAAAAACTGAAATTTAACAAAATTAACACTTTTTTTTGTTAAGAAACATAAGTCAATTTTGACACTTTTTTTTTGAGATATTTTAAAATAATATTGTGTTATCATTTAATGAATTCATTAATAATATTTGAAATGATTTTAAAATGAAATTTAATGTTGAGACTAATCTTAAATTGCAATCTGAGTTAGTATTTCGAATTTGAATTTGACTTGAATTAATTCTGGAAATTGAATTAGTACTTAATTTTAATTTGAACTTGAATTCTAATAGTTGATGAAAAGTTTGCTGGTTTATAATTTGTATGACACACAAAAATGCTACTAAATTTTTTTCTTGCATAATAGTAATAATTTCAAGTACCTCAATAATTTTTTTATAAACTCTTTTTTTTGTTGTTTTTTTTTTTTGTTATTTGTTCGTCATTTTGTTTATTTGTCAATAATAGATTAGCTTATTTGTTGTACATTTTTTTTTTTTCATTTCACTAATTATATTATGAAAAAAGTGATGAAATGAATAAGAAATGAATAAAAGCTGAAAATGAAAAACATTGAAATATTCTAAAATGAAACAAATCATCACTAATTATTTATTTATTTATTTGAAAAAAAAAAAAAAACTAAAATTCATTCGAAAATAATTTGCTGAAAATTACTGTTTTTTCTTTTTTTTTTGGCTATATTACAATCAAAATTTGATCAATTTTATTTATTAAATTGTTAAAAACAAATATTTGTTAAGATTTGAGGTAATGTAAAAATTTCTATAATAATCGGTTCCATATTTATTTTATGCTTCCATTTATTTTCAATTTTTTTTTCCTTTTTATTATTTACTCTAACGTTTTGTTTACTTTTCAGTTAGCTGAACGAAAATTTTGAAGTTTCTCAAATTTGAGGAATATATATTATAAATATATAAATTTTATTTTTCTTAAAATTGCTTATATTTTTGAAATAATTGAATAACTTGCATAAATGTTGATTGATTATTTTGTTGATCGATCTTTTCACACTGTCAATAAATAGTTTTTTTTTTTCTGAGGGATTAAAATTGCATATTGAATTAAAAGAAATTATCCAATTAATAGAGCATTTGAATGAAATTTTGATAAATTTGATTAATTGTTATAATTATAATATAATTTAATATGCTATATATGTACAATAATATTTAGAATATTTAATTCTTTTCATTTCATAAGTAATTTGGCTGAAAAATTTTTTAAATCTATAATTTAGCTTATAATTCATAAGCTTTATCATTTCTTATTGATTTCAATCTTTGTTATATTATATTATAGAATCCTTCAATTGCAATGCTTCATGAATATTTGAGAATTCTTAGAAATCATTTTAATATCAGAAATCAATTTAAAGTTAATAAAAGAAAAGTATTGACTAATTTTGGATACAATTTTATTCATTACATATTAAATAATTAAAAAAATTCTAAGAATTTTCCTTCTTTTTTTTTTTTCCTTTTTTCTTTAATTTAAATTTTTGAAATAGTTTTATCGGCTTTACAAATTGCTTTCTGTCTTTATCGCTAACAGTAATTATTATTATTATTATTATTATTATTATTATTATTATTATTATTATTATTATTATTATTATTATTATTATTATTATTATTATTATTATTATTATTATTATTATTATTATTATTATTATTATCAGTCAATATCTGAAATCTACATTGTACTCATTTGTTTATTTAAGTATGATAAATATTTTAGAGGAAATAAATGCCAAGTAATTAAAGCTATTTACAAACAAATTTTTTTTTCTTTTTTTCCTTTCTCTTTTTTTTTGCAAATGAGGAAAATGCATTGTTTTATGGCGATTATTTCTTTTTTATTTAGATAAAATAGAGAAAAAAAAAAACGGATAAACCGGATGTATCGCATCTTTTCCTGCCGGAACTAAAATAACAACAATTAAAACTTTTTAGATTAAAATTTTTGATTAAAAATTAAAATGAAAATTGACAAAGACGAAAAAAAAGGAGCAAGAAAGGGTATATTAAAGAGGAAAAAGGTACAATGATGACAATGACGAAAAAATAAGAAATGAAATTTTACTTTTTTTCTCTCGCTTTCCCTCTCTCTCTCTCTCTCTCTCTCTCTCTCTCTCCTTGTCTTCTACATAAAATAAGAAATTTGTTTCCAATTAATGGGAGAAAAGACTGCTGGAGGTTGGGGGGATCGAACCCCCGCCCTCTCGCATGCAAAGCGAGCGCTCTACCACTGAGCTAAACCCCCACGGCTCTACCGTTGAGCTTTGTCAGCTAAATTGATATTATTATCAATTGTTATAAATTAAAACTAATCGATCCACTTTCTCTCTCTCTCTCCCTTCTTCTCTCTCTCTCTCCCTTCTTCTCTCTTTCACTCCCTCTAAATTAAATGGATCATTTCTTGCAATAATTTATTATTGATTATATTGTCATAATCAAATTACAATAATTAATCATATCATTAGCAATAAACAATTGTATTACTATCATTGATTATTATAAATTATCATTGTTAAAGTTTTCTTATCAGTAATTATATCTTACTGATATTTAGCAATTAATTTTATTTTTATAAATTAATCAACAAACAATATTTGTAAAACAATGAATGACTAAAAGTTCAAATGTATGATTTAAAAAAGAGTGATAAAAACGAAATGATATGATATGATATGATATGATAGTAAGAATTGAGAGAAAAAAAAAACAAAGAAAAAAGAAAGTTAAACAGTTATTACAGTAATAAAATGAAAAGAAAGGGAAAGTTTACCATTGAAAATATAGATGGAATAATAGAAATGGATGAATTAAAAAAAATAAAAAAAGGTGACGAATTGAAGAAACGATTGTTTGATTAATATGAAATCATAACTATCAATAAAAATGCTTTTAAATTTCAATTTTTGCCATTTCAAATAGTTATTGCTATTGCTTACAATTCTACTTATCATTTATGACGTCTGAAATGATCGAAACAGTAAAATTTTATGAATAATATAACACAAAGCTTTCTCTATATGCTTTCATTATTATCATTCAGCTCTTACTTTATATGCTTTTATCATTATCATTCAGCTCTTACTTTATATGCTTTTATCATTATCATTCAGCTCTTACTTTATATGCTTTTATCATTATCATTCAGCTCTTACTTTATATGCTTTTATCATTATCATTCAGCGCTTTCTTTATATGCCTTTAACACTATCATTCAGCACTTACTTTATATCATTGTCATCACTTATTCTCTCTTGTATGTTAATAAAGATCGATAATCATATCACATTGATAATATATTATCAGTGCTAACATCACTTACTCTTATGTTATTAGTTATAGTGAAGTAATATGATTTTTTTCTTATCAAAAATGATTATTGTTCAATTTATTGTTTTTCTTAAAAAAAATTTTTTCTTAAATCAATGTTAACATCAATTACTCTTATTTAATATGAAACGTAATTTCATCTGTAATTTTTCAAAATTTTTAAAAAATGTACTCATACAATTACCAATATTTCGTCTAATTTTTTTTTTTTTTGTCGTTTGTTAATTATCTATTTTTCAAAAAAAAAAAATTTCAGTATAATTTTATTCATCATTTGATAGTTGGAATTTGGAGATAAAAATTTGATTGGATGATGAGATGGAAAAACTTTTCACTCAAATTGAAAACAATTGTTACAAGTGTTCGAGAGAGGTAAAAATTTTTGTTCATATCAAATTTGAATTTCATATTTTATAATTTATCAACAGCATAAACTTATCCATGAAGAATTTTAATTTAAAAGAAAAAAAATGTATAGTAATAACATCTTTTTCTTTTATTATTAATTTTAATTTTCTTTTTATCAATGATTGAATTCACTGGGCTATTATTAAATTATTAAAATTATTAAAAAATTATTTCAAATAGATAGTATTTCTGCGTTTATTATTGAACATATAATATCATACTAATGTCACATCACTTATTTCACTATGACAATTATTATTTATTGTAATGCAATTAAAATATAATTAGCATATTGATTTTTAAATTTTCAATTTATTAATTTCATTTCTTCAAGATAAATTTGATTAATTTTTTTTTCAGCTATATAAAATTTTTATTGAAATATTCGTGGTATGTTATCATTTTTGTAATGTTAATTTCATTATGTTTGTCAGCTTATGCAGCATTATTTTATTACGATACTTTCGCATTCAATCCATCAATTGTATGTTTATCGTTTCATTTTTTACTTATTTTTTTATTTTTTCTAATTCAATAAACTAATTTTTAAGCTAAATTTTCAAAAAAAAAAGAAAATTGAAATGAATATTTTATATAAAGAATAATTTAAAAAGTTAATTAATCAATTCAAATTTTTATTTACATTTTGCGTTTTCTTTTTAATATTAAAGCATGAAATTTACTTAATATAATACTTATAAAATTAGGCAAAAAAAAAAAATTTTTTTCTTCTTTTTTAATTTATAATTTTTTTTCTTTTAAATATATTTTCAAATTCTATCAATAATAACAAAATGAAATTTTTAAATTTAAGGGATTTGAAACTCGCAATACATTATTATCAAATGAACGATTAGCATTGGATAATTTGATGGAAAGAGCTACGAGAAAAGATTATATGAAATCAAGAAGTAAGCGTGAGATAAGCAATAGTGAAATACCACAAAAGTTAGCAAATTAAATTTTAATTAATTTTATTTAATAAAAATAATTTAAGTATTTTAATAATATTATAATTTTTAAAATAGTATTACTGTTTTTTGCTTTCTTTTTTCAAAATTTATGCAAATTTTTAGAAAAAGGTTTGTTTGTTTTTTTTTTTTTTTTTAATTTAACAGTTTATTTAAACATATTGCACAAATATTTTTTACATTAATAATTTTCAAAGTTTACAGAGATAATAATCATCGATTTGTTGACAACAAAGATATTATTATAAATAATGAAACAAAACTGGAAATGCCACTTGCTGCATGTCAACAATATTTCGTCCTTGGTACTATAATTCCATATGAAGTGATTTTGTTAATGTCAAAATTAATTTTCAAAGTACCATCATTCAATAATGTATGTTTAATTTCCTACTGTAATGTCAAATATAATTTTGAATTGAAAAAAAATGAATGAATAAAAAAAAAAAAATTATAATCATTGAACAAAAACTTAATTCAAATACATTTTAATTTAAAATAATTTTTTTTTTCACAAAAAAAAATTTATTTAGATATTTAATCAGCATTTTATTTTATTTTATTTAAACAAATTTCTTATATACATTTATAATTTATTATACATATTTCAGATACATTTATTATTTATAACATTGTAATATTGTTTAATATAATAACAATAATAATAATAATAATAATAATAATAATAATAATAATAATAATAATAATAATAATAATAATAATAATAATAATAATAATAATAATAATAATAATAATAATAATAATAATAATAATAAATGCTTTATTTATAATTTTTTTTTGTATAAGTGAAAAAAGAAAAGAAAAAAAATATTTATATTTGCAGGAAATATTTTTTTAATTTTTAATTTTTGTAAATTTCCAATTATTTTAATTAATTATTTTTAGTTATTTAATATGCGTACAATGCAACGATTATGTGCCATCGATTCAATCATTGATAGTGAAATTAGTTTGAATAATTTAAATGCAATAAATCTAAAACGTTTACCATTTTCTTTTAATCTTCCATATTATACAATGTGTTTAAATATGGATAAACCATCAAATTCATGCTCGTTGCTTGATTCTGATTAGTAAGTTTATTTATTATTTTTATTTTTTTTTTAAATCAGAAATATTGGTTTAGTTTTAATTTAAAATTTCAATAATAATTTGATTTCGTTTTGTTTTAAACATTAGTAATAGCAATTAGTTTCTATTCGGAAATGATGATAATACAGGTATGAATAGGTAAATGAAATATCTATTATAATTTATCCTGTAGAAAATGCATCGGAATATGTCTCGTAGAGAATATACCGGTTCTATGGTGGATACACTGGAATATTTCCTGTAGAAAATGTATCGGAATATGTCTCGTAGAGAATATACCGTTTCTGTGGTGGATATACCGGAATATTTCCTGTAGAAAATGCATCGGAATATGTCTCGTAGAGAATATACCGTTTCTGTGGTGGATATACCGGAATATTTCCTGTAGAAAATGCATCGGAATATGTCTCGTTAGAGAATATACCGTTTCTGTGGTGGATATACCGGAATATTTCCTGTAGAAAATGCATCGGAATATGTCTCGTAGAGAATATACCGGTTCTATGGTGGATATACCGGAATATGTCTTATAGAAAATGTATCCTTATCTGTCCTACAGAGAATGTGCCGGAATATATCCTTTAGAAAATGCATTGAATTTGTCCTATAAGGAATATATCAGAAAAGATGCTGTGGAAAATGTACCGGAAACCGGAATCTACCCGAATTCTTATTTGAACAAATAATGAGAATTTTGATTTTCATATTAACAGTGAAATTATCATTTGAGAATGTTATCATCACCGTTGATCAACCTTAAATCAACTTTAAGTGATAATTTTAGCATTGAAATGTTCAAATCGCTTGTTTTAACATGTCAAACTGATGAGTCAGCAATTCAATGTCAATTACCTATTGCTAAACAACTTTCCAATATAATTTTTCAAAAGAGTAATGGTCCAATCGATGTTAATAAACCATTTTACTTTGCTGTTGTTTTGCCGGTAATTAATTATTTACAAATATTTGCCATAATTTTAACACTAATTAGTAATTATCTATGCTAAAAATAACACATTTTCTCTCTTCTTCAATTTATTATATTGTTTAAAAAAAATTTTTTTTTTTTTGAAATTTTGCTAATTTCACAAAAAAAAATTTATGAGATCTTTAAAATTTCAAAAAAAAAAAAATCCAAAAATGTTTTTTTTTTTTTTTTTTTTTGTTGGATACTTTTGCATTTTATACATAAATAAATTTTTTTTAATTATAATTAAAATTTATACTTTTGCACAATATTTACAGATCATTCAATCAAATGATGGCTATTCAAATCTTCATTTTTATTCAAATTTACTTGAAAAACTTCAACAAGATTACAATGATAATGAATTGAAATTAGTTGGAGCGCAATTTGGTGTTAAAGAAGGATTATTTGTGCAAGAACTTCGAAGTGATGTACGACTTGGTGTAATTGCAATTATTTTGGTTGTACTTATCATACTGATATATACTGATAGCTTTTTTATCACATTTTGTATCACTGCTAGCTTACTATTATCAATTGGTGTCGCATTCTTCGTTTATACGGTTTGTTATCATTTTCCTTTTTTTTTTTTTGAATTTAAAATTTTTCCACAATCGTTCGTTTCTTACTTTTATTTTTTGTTTTTTCTATTGACAAATATTAATTTCTAAAAAAAATTTTTTTTTATACTTTATTATAATATATGAGAAAAAAAAGAGAGAGAGAGAGAGAGGGAAAAAAAACTAATTTATTGAATTAATTATTTAATTCAAACATATATCATTTAAAAAAATAAATAAATAATTAATTGATGTAATTGATGAAATCCACTTTTTTTTGGTGCTCATTATCACTTTTTTTTTCTTGATTTTAGTACTAAAATATATGTCAAATTTATCAATTTAATACTTTTTTTTTAATTAAATTATTTTTTTACAAAATTTAACTAACATTTAATGATAATTTTATTATACAAATTATTTATGAATAAATGAATATGATATAATTAATGGGATGGTGAAGGATTTCTCGGAAATTTTAGTACATAAACTGATAAGATTTAAAAAAAAATAGTTTTATCATTCCTTTTATAATTTTTGTTTTTCTGAATTTTCATTTACATGTTGACAGTGATATTTTAGGACGTTTATCATAAAAGTATAAAAAGATATTTATGATAAAGAAATTTTATATTGCAAGAAATATTTGGTAGAAATTTTGTAATTAACGAATGGATAAAGAAAAGAGTTCATTTAAATTGGTCAAAAGTATCGTTTTTTTTTTGTTTTGTTTTTTTTGGTCAATTTTTAAATAGGAAATGATCATTTTATCAGCTATCAGCTTTGTAATCACTCTCTAATATGATTTATGTTTATTTAAATCAGAAAGATTAAACAATGTTCTGAAAAGATCACTAAGCTTATCAAACTAATATTTATAAAACTAATAATTTGCAAATAATTATCAAGAGCAAAACAAAAGAAAATTAGATAGTTTGTTTAAAAAAGAGAATTCTTTTTTAAATAAACTTTCTGATTTAAGATTTATCATTAGAGAATAATATTACCATCTTATTCTTTCATTTTTCACCTATGACCTCTAGGACATATATTGGATAATTAATTTATTAATTTACAAAAGAAATTTTTTTTAAAAAAAAAAAAGTCTGAAATATTGTGAGATATAAATATTACGAGTGAAATTTATTTTTCATCTTATATATCTATACATATAATTTGTTAAATTGCTCAAAAGTTTTTGAAATTTAAAAAAAAAAAACAGCAATTTCAGGTAATTCTTGGGATTAAATTTTTTCCATTTTTAAATTTACTTGCGATGATACTTGTTGTTGCTGTTGGTGCTGATGATGCTTTCCTCTTTGTGTATCAATATAAGAAACATAGAGCGGTAAATTTTAATTGATAAGTTTACTTTGCTTTTTCTATTTCCTTTTTTTTTTTTTTTGCTTTGTTTCAACAATCGAAAATATAATTTATAACTTTGATAGAATTATTATTAAATTATCATTAATTTAGTGAGTAGTTGCTTTTTTAGTTTACATTTTATAACTTCCAATAAAATGTTGATCAAATTAATAAATAACTAAAGCATAAAAATTTTGTTAATTTATATTTTAGGATGCTAGAAAAACCTGGTCACCAATGTTATTAAATTGTGATGCAAATAATACAAAGGAGGAAAATTCTGATAAGGAAGAGGTGATTTACTAACACACAAATTAATACATTCGACTATGAAATTAATATACCATTCATTTCTCGTTTTACTACTATTTCGATAATAAGATGATAGTGATAAAAGAATAATGATAATGATAACGAGGATAGTGACAATAACAATAATGATAACGATGGTAATGAAAGTGACAGTAGTGATAATGACAATGATAACGACAATAGCAACAATAACAATGATAATGATGATAATTATAATAGCAATAGTATCAATGATAATGGTGATAGTATGACAGAAACAATGATTAAAGTGATAATGCTGATGGCGACAGTGACAATAATAATAATAATAATAATAATAATAATAATAATAATAATAACGGTGATAATGGCAATGATGGTAACAGTTACAATAATTACAATGATAATAATGATGGTGACAGTAACAATAACAACAGTGATAATAATGATAGTCACACTGACAATAATAATGACAATGATGGTAGAGACAATAGCATCACTAACAATGAACTAACGATGATAGTGATGGTGACAATACTAACAATGATAATGATAAAAATAGCAATAATAACAATGATAATGATAATGACAATAGCAATATTAACTGGCAGAGGTGATAAGATGATAATAACAAAATTGTGATAGTTCACTGATATGTTACTTTCCATCACTTTATGTTTACTAATCATTTAAAGCTTTCAATGACATTTATAAGGAAATTATTCCATCAAATATTCTGTTAAGATAAAATTTGAATTAAACATTTCAAATTTTTATTTCTATTGCTATTCTTTTTTTCCCTTTTTTGTTTATTATAATTTTTATTCCTTTTTTGTTTATTATCAATTTATAAGAAAAGAAAAACAATAATTAATTAATTTCAGTTAATGGAATATCATCGTAAACAGGTGATATCAGGTTTAAATGATGCATTATCACACAGTGCAATTTCAATGTTTGTCACATCAGCAACCACTGCTGTCGCATTTTTTGCTAATCTTGCATCAGAGATTGTGGTTCTTAGGTTTGTGTGACATTTTTGTTTCTTTTCTTTTTATTAATTTTATCAATAAAAAAGAAGAGAAAAATGAAAAAAAAAAATGAATTAAATTCGAGAAATGCAAAATTGGTGACAGTAATTATTAATTTACATTATTATTTAGCAAATTTTTTAAAATAATGAAAGAGAAGAAACAAAAAACAAACAAACAAACAAACAAACAAAAGCAAATTGTCAAACAGATCATTCTATTTTAAAACATTTAATAAAGTTTGTTTATTGATTATTTTTATTTTATTTTAATTTATTTTAGATGCTTTGGTATATACGCTGGTACATTAATGCTAATTAATTATATATTAGTAATTATAATATTACCTGCTTCAATTATTGTCACTGATACAGGTGTTAAAACATTTACCACTTCGAAATTCTTTATTTCAAGATTAAAATATCGAATTGCTTCATTCTGGCATAATGCTGCAACAAATTTTGATAAAATGTTTAATAGATTAATTCCACAAATTGTATATATTATTCGATTACCACTAATACTACTAACATTTATTGTATTTGCACTATCAATTTATGCAATTGCTAAAAAACCTGGAATTCGATTACCGGAACGAAACTCAATTCAGGTTAGCGCTATTAGTTTATTTCTTCTTTTTCACTTAATTATTTAATTACTTAATTATTATTTAATTCACAAGTCTTTTCTTTTAAAATGATTATATATGTAAATAATAACATACTCATTAATAAATAAATGATAATAATTAATTATCTTAAGTAATTAATTATCACAAATAATCTAAATATGCAAATTAATTTTTTGATAGAAAATTAAATCATTTTATTTTGTTTAGTTTTTACGTTCAAATCATCCATATGAATGGTTCGATGAAAATGCTGCGACATTATTTGATTTTTCGATTGGTCAACAGCCAAAAATGAATGTTGTTGCTGTTTGGGGCATTAAGCCAACAACGTTAGTAATTTAAAAAATTTTTTTGAATAATTAATATTTTGAAATAAATATTAATTAATAGTGAAAATTATTTCAAATTCTTTAATGAAAATTTTTCAAAATAAATTATTTATTATTATCAATTTCAAATTGTAATAGTTTACAAAAATTATTGCTAATATAATTGAAAATTTAACAAAATTTTAAATGAGTTTTTCATCGTATTTTCAAATGCAATTTGTTTATTTTAGAGATGGGAAAAGTTGATAAAAAATTTAAATCTTTGTAGAACTGGAAGTTTGCTAATTCCAAATGAAAAAGGAACGCTTAATGTGGATAATGGATTTATTGATCTTTTGGCTAATCATCTTCTAGAATTTCAGGTTAATTTTTATAAATATAAAAATGAATTATCAAATGACAAAATTTGGTTTTAAAAATTTTTCATTATTTAAAAGATATAAATTGAAATATATGTATTTTTTTAAACAATTCATTTCAAAAAAATTTAAATTAATGCAATTGCTAAAAGTATAAATAGAAATAATTTTTTAATATTAATAATATTTTTTACTAATTTTAGACTTTGCTTAAACAAATTAGTTATCAAACTAATCCAAAAATAGAACAGAAATTATGGTTGGATGAATTTATTAATTGGACAAATTTGAATACAACAATGGAAAGTTGCAAACTATTTGCTGTAAACCAAACTCAACTATCAACTGTTAGTTAATTACTTCCAAAAAAAAAAAAAAAAAATTAGAAAAGCAAAATAAAATAAATAATAATCTGAAAAAGCTTTTTTTATTTTTCCTAAATTTAATATTAGGTGATTATCTTTAATCGAATATTAATAATTTGTTAACATTAATTATATTATCAAATTATTATTTACAAATACAATCACATCTTTTTTTTTTAGTTTTTTTAAAAAAAAAAAACTTTTTAAACATTTTTAAAATAACTTTTCTTCCTAATATTATAGATGTTTTGAATTTTGTTTTTCCTCATCTTTTCAGCCAATATCATTTTCCGGAAATATACTTTCACGTTGTTTCCTTCAATACGGACGTGCAACATCACTTCCGTCACTTGATAAATGGCAACAAAAAGATAGCGATGGACCAATATTTGATAACAACGACGTCTTTTTGGCGTATTTCTTATCAACACCTAGCAAATATAATTTTTCAACTGTTTTTAAAGAAATGAAACCATTTTTCGACTTTATTGATAGTATAAAAGTGGAAGGAAGTGAAATTTCAGGTAAGTGTTAGTATTATTATTATCTTACATTAATTTCATTTACGTTAATGTACAAAAATTTATTCACGTAAAAAACTTATCATCTCATTGCTACTGTTTACGTTAGAAATTATTATACTCACGTGCTGTTGCTATTGTTTACATTAGGAATTATTATACTCACGTACTGTTGCTATTGTTTACGTTAGGAATTATTATACTCACGTACTGCTGCTATTGTTTACGTTAGGAATTATTATACTCACGTACTGTTGCTATTGTTTACGTTAGGAATTATTATACTCACGTACTGTTGCTATTGTTTACGTTAGGAATTATTATACTCACGTACTGTTGCTATTGTTTACGTTAAAAATTATTATACTCACGTACTGCTGCTTTCACTTACGTTAGAAAAAAAAAGTTATTACTTGCATTTAATAACTGAATGCATTTAATGAAAAAATTTTATTTTAATTGGTTAAATTTTTCTTTTTCTTTTTTTTTGTTCATTTATATAAAATAATTTTTATAGGCTAAAATAATTAAGCATAAGTGGAATAAAAACAATAAATAATAGAGCTAAAAAGAATTGAAATTTTTTTAATTATTTTAAAATTAATATTTTTTTTTTTTTCCTTCTTCACTTTTTATTTTTCTAAATTTCATTGCAGAATTTAATGAACCATTAATGCTAACAGTAAGTGGTATAGCAAGATTGTATGATTTATTGGAACGTATACTGAATGGTACTGCTATTTCGGTATTTATTTCATTGATAGTTAGTATGATGGTTATCATTTTTATCACTTTTAATGTGATCTTATCAATTTTGGCTATCATTTGTATTGCTACAATTGTTACTGTAACTGTTGCTATTGTACTTTGGATTGGTAAGTTAAACTTTTTTTTTTTTACAATGATTTTAACTTTTTTAAAAATGTTTGTCGTTTTTTTTTGTTTTGTTTCTTTAAAAATTTGAAATTTTTTTTTTTTTTTTGTTAAACTAAAGCTAAATTTTTTAGAATTTATAAGTATTAATAAAATAATCAATTTCAGGTTGGACAGTTAATGTTGTTGAAGCAACAATAATTGTACTAACAATTGGTATGAGTTTTGATTACTGTCTTCATTTTGCTGTTGGTTTTCGACTTCATAAAACCAGTGATTACAGGTTATTTTAATTTTTTTTTCTTTTTAAAAAGTATAATTTTATTTTTATTTATTATTTCAGTATTACATAGAAATAGATGAAATATAATAAAATGCTTTGTTATCTATTAGAAAAGTTATAATTAAAAATATAATTAGGAAATAATTGTTGAAATAATTAAAAATATAATACTTCAAAATAATTATAACTGAAAATATAATACGAAGAAAAAAATTAGCAATTAGAAATAATTTTGAATGATTTAGAAATATAATATTTCAAAATAATACTTTTTTTTTAAATTTTTCAAAAAAAAAAATTATTTAATTATTTTAAATAATTAAAGTAAAACAAAATAAAAACGATAAACGAAATATTATTTAAAAAAAAAAAAAAAAAAACAGTTTTAAAAATTAAGAAAATTTCAGTGTGATTGCATCTGCTGTTGGTATTCCCGTACTTTTATCAGCTCTTTCTTCATTCATTTCCGGATTTGTTCTAATCGGTGCATCAACACAAGCATTTTTTGAAATTAGTATTTTTCTTATGCTAATTACAATTATAAGTTTTACAAGTGCTGTATTTATTTTCCCATCGATGGTTACATTATTACTACAGAAATGCTCATCAAATATTTAATATTTCAATTGGAGAAGAAAATAAAAAAGAAAAATTCAATAAAATTAAAAATAAAAATGTTATTTTAATTTGGCATGAATTATTTGATAAATAATAAATAATTTAATAATTTTTTAAATGATAATAAACAAACACACACAATTAAATTGTCAAATGTCATCCAGGAATTTTTTTTTTTTTTGCATTTTATTATGAAAAATTATTATAAATTCTTTCGTTTCTTTTTTTTATAATGCAAATTTTGATTGTTACAAAAAAAATAAATAAAAATTGAAATATAAAAATTTCTTAATTTGTCATATTTTATTATTGCTCGAAAATAGGATGGTGCTAAATGAACGGTTAGCGAAAAAAAAAATGAGAAAAAGTTTAAATAAAAATTTAATTTTTATTTATTTAATTTATTTAGACCACTCAAACATTCAAAATTTTTACTTATTCAATATGAAGAAAGAAGCATTTGATTTTCTTTTTTTAGTCATATTTTGAAAAGTTATACTGTCATATTGTCAAGTATTTTATGTACTGCTTAAATTTACCTTAAATTTTACCTGTATACATGTATTAGTCTATTTTGTGTTATTTAATTAATTATATATAATAAATACATTTATTAAATAAATTAATAACAATTATTTATTCATTGTTTATAAAATAAGATTAATTTAAAAATTTTTTTTTTTTTTTTAAAGTTGTACAACAAATGAAGATCAGAATGGAAATGCAGAAATTCATCGTCTTGCTAAGTTTATTAAACAAAATGCAATCATTGATGATTGGGAAGTGATAAAAATTATCGGTGCAGGTCAATTTGATTGACCTTTATGTGAAAAATTTAAAGAAAAGAAAAAGAATAATAATTGAAACGATGATTAATTAATTTTAATTTAAATATGAAAAAAATTGAAATCAAAAAAGAAAAAATTGAATTCATATATTAATTACATTTAATTGTCTTCAAAATAATAACATTTAACATTTGCATTTATTTAATTGAAATGAATGAAAAAAAAAGAGAATAACTAATGAATAAGTTTAAGAATATGAAAGCTTTTTTTTTTTTTTTGGTTACTTATAATTAAATAATTAATAAATAATAATTAAATAATTTAATAGGTGCAAACGGTTTGGTTATTCGTGTTAAGCATATTAAAACACATAAAGTAGCAGTAATGAAAATTGCAATTAATCCGGCAACATCCGGTTCAATTAATTGGGAATGGAATATATTAGAAAAAATTATGAATGTATTATTTATCCTTTCATTTTAATTAGTTCACTTTTTTTTCATTTAAAATTAATTTTTTTATTTTTAATTTTGTTTCTGTTCAATATTTTTTTCTATTTAAAATTGAACAAACTTTATTATTATTATTATTATTATTATTGTTATTCAATAATTAATGAGTTTTATTCCCATTTCCCTACGCAAATTCAAATTACTAAAATTTTTTTTTCAAATATTAGCAAATTTTATTTTATTTCAAATTTATAGCCAAAAAATAAGGAAGATCGAACAAAACATTTGGTACGAAGAATCGATTATGGTTATACATTTAATATGGATAAAGAAAACGTATAATATAAAATTAATTAAATTTAATTAATTTAATATTATCAATTTTAATATAAAATATATATAATTGGACGAGAGAAGAAGAGAGTGAGAAAAAAAGAATTTATGATAAATTATTTAAATTTGTAAATTATAATTAATTTTTAGATAAGTTATATTATAATGGAATATTTGCCAGGAAATCCAGTTAGTATAATTGGTCTTTTAAAAGGTAATCAACTTTTATCAAAGGTAGCTGAATTTGGTCTTCAACTTCTTAAGGTAGTTCTCATTTTTTTTTCTTCCTTCTTTTTTCATTGAAGAACTTTTGCATATTTGTTAATAAAATTTATAAATGTTAAATAATAATTGACAATTAAAATTATCATTTAAATTAAAATAAATTTCATATATTATTTTACACTTTTATTTGTTTTACAAAATGATAAGAGAAAAAAAGAAAGATTTATAGAAGAGAAAAAAGTGCAGAAGTTTTAAGAATTTTAATTAATATTACTGTTTTACAAAATTATTTTGAAAAGTATTTCAATGAAAAATTTCAATATAATAATAGGCTGTTTACATTGTTTTTGGCTGTTTGAAAAATTTTTTTCGCCATTTTTTTTTAAACATTTTAATGAAAATTTTCAAATATAATGCTAGGCTGTGTATGATTTACATTGTCTTGGCTATATTCATCGTGATATAAAGCCAGAAAATGTTGGACTTTATAATGATAACATTCTTGTCTTGTATGATCTTGGATTAGCACGATTTTATACAAATCAAAATGGACAAATACGAGAACCACGATGCTTATGTGGTATGCGTGGTACCGATGAATGGGCTAGTTTATCAGCTGAATTAGGAAGAGATCAGGTATACAAAAAATAAAAATTGTTATATAATTTTTATCATACTAAATACTATTTGAGATTAATTAATATTGTTAATTTAAAAAGAAAAAAAGATGCTATCAGATTGATTACTTTCTAATTTTTTTTTTTGCTAATTTCAAAAAAAAAAAAAAAAAAGATTAAAAATGTAAAATTATCACTCATTTTTCTTTTTCTTAATACACTTTTTTATTATCATTGATAGGGACGAATTGATGATCTTTGGGGATGGTTTTATGTTCTCATCGAATGGATCAATTGCGCTTCTAAATATCCTCTTTGTTGGGCACCTTTTGATGATTATCCTGATTTACGTCATCTTTGTAAATCATCAATATTTCCTGCAAAATATGTTCTTCGAAATTGTCCACCAGAATTTTTCAAAATACAAGTTAGTTGCTAGCATCGTGCTTGAAAAAACATTAAAGCTATATTATGTGACATAATTATATTTCCCACCAAAAAAAAAAAAAAAAAGAATTTACTAAAATATTAGGAAGATTTTAAACATAATTGCAATTTTATTTCTTAAAAATTGATCGCTTATCAAAATTTTCCATTTGTTGTTTAGAATTCTTTAGGTGCATATTTATTTTATAATTATAATAATAAAAATTGCATACTAATTTATAATTAATTCTTTTTTTTTTACATACAATTTTTTCTTGCATATTTATTTTATATTTATTTGCAAAATTGCTGATATTAAAACAGTCAAAAGAATAGGAAATATTAAAATTTCAGCTTAATATTTAAATGATTCAATATAGAAATATTTCAGTGTTATTTACGATGTTTAAATTGTGATGATTCACCGAACTATTTCTATTTGGCTACATTATTAGATGATGTTAAAAAGAGAGCAAATGGTGCAAACCCTGTAAAATTTTTACAACAATCATCAAATATTGATATTGAACGAGCTGAACGTTTGTCACAATTAGAGCTTGAATATTTTTAATACGATATATGGAAAAAAAAAACTTTTAATTTAATCATATGTAAAAAAAAAAAAAAAAGAAAGCTCAGAAACAAAAAAATATATATATGAAATTTTGTAGTAAAATTTTTTTCACACATCCATTACAACACAAATATCAAATGCTAACAAAATTACCCCCTTCCTCATTTTTAACCCATAATTCTGGATTGATCAAACTTTCGATTTCATCGTCTGCGTAATTACCTAAAATAAATAAAATGGTCAAAGATTCAAATAATTACTAAAAATTAATGAAGTTTTCCGATTTTTTCAATAATTGATTTTATCTAATTTCATCTGTCATCTCTAATGATAAATATTACTTATACTCTTATCTTCTTGTTCTTTTTTCTTCTTTTTGTTTACAAACAGATCAAAAATGAATGATATTCCTATTCGTTTTCTCTTTCTCATTTCCATATGAACAAATCATAATGTCAACAAAATGAATACACAATAATAAATAAAATCAAAATTAAACATTAATCAATTGCATTTATTTTTTAATATTATTTGCAATTATTTGACTGACACTAATATGAACATATAAAAGTTAAAATTTAAATCAAAATTTAAAAACCAACCTCGACTTCTACGTGGAAAACATTTGTCTGTAATATGATGCAAATCACTAGCATATTGCATACGATGATCCTCTATAAGACTTTCATCACCATCATGACATGCTTTAACATGTTTAATTACATCCGATTTAGTGATTGTTGTCCACGTTTTTTTACATTCACGACAAAAGAACATCGGTAGACGCACGTGTCTTTAAAAGTTAATAAATGACGAACAATTTTTCTTTTTTTAAAAAAGAAGGTAATAAATGGTCATTTATATATATAAATACACATTTTTAATCGTATATATAAATTAATTAGATCAAATCACTTTTCATTTTTTTTCAAAAAAAAGTTATTCATATCATTGAAATTATATTACTGTTCATTTTAATAGCATTTATTTTTTCTAAAAATGTTACATATATATTAAATTTAATAATTAATGACCTCATTTTGTCAAAGTTTCTTTTACTTTTTTTGAAATATATTAAAATATTGGTTAGCTTAGGAAATTACTTGGAGTTAGCATGATAGATAAGTGATGAACGTTGACCAGTAACTTGAAGACCACAAATATTACAAATTCGAGGTGGTCTTGTTCGTTTCTTTCCTTGCTGCGTTAATAAATCATTATTAGCTGTTAAGCTATTTGATGGATCAACAACATCGGTTGGCTCACAACCTGTTGTTACACTGTTACCAACATCATTTCGATATAAATCACCCAAAATATTCACTAAAAAATATTTTGATTGCGATTATAATAGCTGAAAAATAGAAAAAAAAATAGCTGAAATTAAAAATTAATTCAAAAAACAATAATAATATCATTTCAAAATAAAACAAAAAATTAATTGCTCACCGATATTTACTTGATCTGAGTCTTGTTGCAACACCGAACAATGGAATGTAGCTGATTGTGAATCTGATTCTTTTTCCAAAGTGCTATCTTCTGGCTCAACTTCACTGCCCTAAATTTTCTTTTAATGTCAAAAATCTCAATCTAAGTTAAGATTAGAAAGAATTAAAGCTATATTTTGATTATTCAAGCTTAATTATGAATAAAATTTTTGTAAATTTATGCGAATGTTTTAACTTTAATAAATGTATTTTTGCAATATTAACGTGAAATGATACTTTAGCACTTTCGATTTTTGCTTCTTTTTCGGTTTCAGTCATACGTGTCAATTCATCGGAATCCACCGGAACAGGACACAGTTCTCCGGAACTAAGCAATGATGAATAGTCCGCTATTCTTAAAATTTTGAAACTAACAAATTAAAAGATCAACAAGCAGTAGATGAAAAATAAATTTTGCATTAGAAACAATACTGCAAATGAGACAACAGAAGGAAAAAACAACAACAACAACAACAAATTAAGCAAATATGTAAACAAACTTTCTTCGTTTATAAGTTCCAAACGGAATTTTTGATACAGTAACAGAATGATGTAACATTTCTCTAATTTTCTCACGTTTACGATGGAAATCTGGTGTAACTTTATATTTCACCTAAAAGAAATATATAAAATAAAATTTCAATTCATCTATATTTATTTATATTACAAATAGAATCAAAAAAAAAAAAAGAAATCTCATAATTTTATGCACCATAAATTGGAATATTTCACAAAAAATTTATGTGTAAATAGACTTGATATAAGACTATGGAAAATTATGTCATTAATGATAAATAATCGAATAAAAAAAAAAAAATAAATAAAAGGCTCTTTAGCTTTATTCAAAATCCCATTCATCAAAGGATAGTTCAAAAAGATTGAAGATGAAAAGAAATGATGTTGAATTTATCAGAAGCATCATCAAATAATCCATTGATAAGTACTCTCACATTTATGCAATTTTTTTTTCTGATTTTTTTTTTAAATTTATGACATATTTAGTTGAGAGTTATTTTAGCTAAATATTCTATTTATCGTTATAAACATTAAAAAAAAAAAAAAACAAACAAAAACAAACAAATAAAAGTAATTTATTTCAATGCATAATCTGTTTAGTTTAATTTTAAACTTTTAAAAACATAATTAATATTAATCATTGATAAATTCTATGATAAATAAATAAATGATAAACTAAAAAAAAAAAAAAAACAAATAAACAAAACAAACATAAAATTCTTTTAATCCATGATCCGTCGTATAATGACTAATTAAAGCAAATTCGGTGGGAAATTTTGAAAAACGACATCGTTCACATTCATATGGTATATGAATGATATGATCAGATGCAATATGTATTTCTAATTCTTCCACAGTTTCATATGTTGGCGCTTGTAATGGACAAACAACACAACGAAACATTTTGTATTCTGGAATAAAAAAAAAAAAATTCAAAAAAAGAATTAACTCAATCAATGTACTTTAAAATTTTATGTTGGATAAGATCAAATAATCAATCTCACTAATTAATATCATCAATAATCAATATTAAACTTTCAATAATTAATTACTAATATCAAATGAACATTATCAAATAAATATTTATTTGATTTTTCCCTATGAAAAGATTTTTAAACAATTAAATGTACAATCATAGCACGCTAATAAAATAATATATGTAATAGTATTAGAAAAAAAAAAAAGAAATTTATATAGAGTAATTAAAATAATAATTTATTGAATCATTTATTAACTGATCAAAAAGTGATCGTTTAATAAATGATAAGCGATAAGGAAAATTGATGAAAATAATGAATGGAAAAAGTTGAATAAAATGAATAATTATAGAAAGCTAAACTAAATATAATCGATGATAGAAAGATCAAAAACAAATATTACTTTGGCAAAAAAAAAAAATCCCAAATGTTTATTTTTTGTTGTAAAATAATCGATGTATTATATATATATATATATATATAGGTAATGAAAATTGCAGTCTTTCATATGAAAAAGAAAAAGAAAGAATGAAAAATATTTAAAATTAAGTGCGAAATAATGAATAGCAATAACAGTAGTATGAGTTAATAAATAATAATAATGATAACGATAATAATATTCAATAATAATAATAATAATAAACAATAATAAATAATCACAGTAATAATAATAAATAATGATAACAATAATAATAAATAAGAATAATAAAATAATAAATAATAATAATAAAAGCAATAAATAAAAATAATAAAATAATAAGTAATAATGATAACAATAATAAATAAGAATAATAAAATAATAAGTAATAATAAAAATAATAAAATAATAAATAATAATGATAATAATAATAAATAATAGTAATAAAAACAATAAATAATAATAATAAAAACAATAAATAATAATACTAAAAAAAAATAAATAATCATAAAGGGAATAAATAATAATAATGGCATTGGTAGCACCGGTATCACTAGCTCACTGGTAGCACTGGTAGCACCGGTAGCATTGGTAGCACTGGTAGCACCGCTAGTGGTGGTAGTAGTGTGGTGGTAATAGTCGTAGTAATAATAGTTGTGTTGTGGTTTTGGTTGATGCTACTCGGAGCGTTGCTGAATGATGTTAGTCCTTCTTTCCTTTCCTTTCCTTTCATTTCATTTCATTTCCTTCCCATTCCTTTCCTTTCCTTTCATTCCTTTCCTCTCCTTTTCTCTCTTTCTCTCTCCCTTTCCTCTCCTCTTCTCTTCCCTTTCTTTTTCCATTCCTTTTTCATTCCTTTTCTTTTCCATCCTTTTATTTCCTTCACATTCATTATAATTCAATTCATCCATTCATTCTTTCCTCTGAGGAGAAGTATAGACAAAGATAGAGGAAAAGGAGGAGGAAGAGAAAAGATAATGAGAAATGAAGAAATATAGATGATGAAAAAGATGAAGAATGAAGAGAATGAATGACATATAGAAATTTGAATCGATCGATTTTGTGAAATTGTTATTGTTAATCACAATTCTTTCCTTTTCATAATAAAAAAAAAAGAAAGGAAAGGAAAGGAAAGGAAGCAATGAGTATGAAAATGAGAGATAGAAGGAAAAAAAGAGAGGAAAAAAGAAGAAAAGGAAGAATATGGGACATATTTGATGACAATGATAATAACAACGCCACAAAGGGATTGTTTAACTAAACAAAAAGAAAAGTACCGGTATTTTTTGAAATTAGATGAAAAGGAAGAAAGAGGAAAAGAAAAAAAGAGAAAATGATTAAATTAATGGAACATTAACAATTTATATTAGAAATAATTTATTACTATTAGAAGTAATTTGTGTTTTTATTTATATATTATGTCGTAGTATTTATTATTATTATTGTTTTTTTTTTTTCTTTATAAATATTTCATTAAATTGTTATTAAATTCAAATCATTCTTTTTTTTTTGTTTACATTATCATATCTTATGCTTAATATTTATCGAAAATTAAATTTTGCAAACAATTTCTTTTCCTCATCTTTTCTCTCTCTCCCTCTCTCTCTTTTTCTCTCCCTCTTTCTTTTCTTTTTCTTTTTTTTTTTTTGTCTAACAGATTAAATTCAATCAAATTTAGCTGATAGCTTTGCATCAGTAAATGAATACCGGAAATACGGAATAAATAGCAGGAAAATATATGCATATGATTCATTTAATGAATGGAAAATTTAAATGTGATATTATCAGAGAATTATCATATGAATATTTATTTCGAATTCAAATATTTGTATATCTTTCTCATAATAAATCTATTATTAGTTGTTTTGAGTTAAAATTTTAATTATTCCCTGCTGAAAATCTTTTTATCTCATCGATATTTCCTTATCATATCTGGAGATCTTTAATGCAGAATGTTATCACTTCGTTATCATCTTTCATTACTTGTAGTATCTCTCATATTATTACTTTTATAATGACTAATGCTTCTTGCTTCAAATTTCAATATTACTTTTGAATTTCTCTTTTAATATTTGATGATATCATTCATCCCTTTAGCTAATCTGCTTTTGTTTCTGTCTTTCTCTTTTCTCTCTCCTTCTCTCTCTCTCTCTCTCTCTCCCTCGTTTCATCTATTTTAATATCCATTTAATTAACACTTCCTATTCTGTAGAATTATTGACTATCATTGATCATTTATGCTTACAAGTAATTATTAAATCCAAATTATTGTGGCAATTTTTGAAATGTCGCAAATTTGTCACAATTATTACTGAACTACCATTTATCAATTTTTATTGATTAAAATTTTAACAATTTTTTTATAAAATAAGCGATGAAAAAACTTCAGTTAAAAAAAAAAAAATTATAAAATAGCTAAAATGTACACTTAGAAATGATGATAATTTCTTATCACAAATTCACTGCAATATAATTATTATCATTTAAAAAAATATATGTTGCTAATTTAAATGGAATGTTTAATGAAATGCCTATTTTTCAGAAAGTTCCCTCATCACAAATAATAATAACAGTAGTAATAAGAACAATATCAAAAAAATATATCAGTAATTAACTGTTATTAAGAATAATAATAAGTAATAACAATAACAACATTAATAATAATTAATAATAATATAATAATAGTGATAATAAATAATAATAAGTAATAATAATAATAGTAATAATAATAATAATATTAGTATTAATAACAACAATAATAATAATTAATAATAATGACGATAATAAATAATAATAACAATGAATAATGGTAAATAATAATAATAATAACAATAAATAAAAGTTGTAAACAATAATAACGATAATACCAATAAAAAAAATGCAATTTTTCCGAAAATAATTTTGCCCGGAACTCAAAATACCAGGATGCATTAAACTGGTTTTTTCTTATTTCTTTTCTTTTCTTTTTTCGCATTTCAGGTGAGTTACCAGTAATATGTGCATGCTGTCACATTCATTTTCTCTTCCTTTTATAGATTTGATTTCCAATCTTTCAATCTTAAATTTTGCAACACATTGCATTTTTTAAAAGAAGTTTGAAAAAAAAAATGAAGGAAAATATATTTATATTTCTTTTTTCCATAAGTCTTTGATACTATTTTTCACGTCCTTTGTATGACTAATTTTAATTTTGCAATATATGTTAATTGGTTATTGAAAAGAAATGTCTGTAGAAATAATGATAATTTCTTATTGTTATTTCGATTGTTTGTTATTGTCATTTTATCAGAATATGTTTTTGGTTTATTTAATTATTTTAAGAAATTTTTTATTCGTTTATCATTTAAGATTATATAATTTTAGGATTCAAATATTTTAATGCCGAAACGGATTGGTAAGTTAATAGGACTGATAACTCACCAAGGTGATGATGGGTTATTATATGTATTTGTTCCAGGTTTCTTTTTTCTTCTTATCATCGTCTTTTTCACGTATTAGTTTTTCTAACTTTTTTATAAATATTGAAAATTGTTGATAATTTTGAATAAAAGGATAACGAGCTAATTTTCATATAAGAAAAGTTGTTGTTGTTTGGCTAATTAATTGCAGCAAAATTTTTATTTCTTACTTTTCAATGAAGAAATTTTTTTTAGCAAATATTTTGTTTTTTTTTTTTTATTTGTAGGGAAACATCCTGAGTTGGTAATTGATCAAAGGAAAACACTGAATGATGAGCATTGTTTTCGTATTGGTGATTTTATATCATTCATTAATATTAATGATTCCATTACATCACCAATTCGGATAAAAAATTTGTTCGAAACACGTTTTGTAAACAATCGTTTACAGGTATAAGTTATTATCATTAACTGTTAAATGCAATTTTTCGTTTAGTTAATTATTTGAGATTTATATTTTTAACATTACTACTAAATGAATGCAATATTTTTGTCAATATATTTGGAAATTTTTTTGATTATAAATCATTTATAAGTGATGTGTACTTGTGAATTTTTTTCTTTTTTAGCATATATTGGAACCATTCATTTTGATATAATTTCTTTGATTGTTTCAGGTGAAAGTTCTGGTGGCAGTTCCTCCAAAACATTTCTCTGAACGAGCTAATTTCACCACAGTTACTCCCTCTACTGACAAAATGCTTGCTTGGTCTCCGGACTTTGCATTTATTGGTTGTTCATTTGATGTCGTAAAAAAGCTGCGCAAAAATCAGATGTATAGCGCTTGGATTGAAAGGTATATATGGTTTCGAGATTAGTAATATCTTTGTTATTATTTCATGTTCGGAAGATTTGATATGGAATTAACAGATTTATTTTCGAACACTGTAATAAATTATATTTGATTTTTGCTTATGAATTTCATCGCAATTGTCATTTTATTTGGTATTTGTCAAAAAAAGTTAAAAAAAAAAGGTCTGCTGTGAAATTTTTTATGACTAAATGAAATTGAGGTTTAGTAGTTTTATTTTATCGATTGGTATAACAATACTCATTTTGATTTTTTTTTTTTTTTTTATTCAAAGCCACAAAGGGAAATGCTGAATGTACAAAGAGAAAGAATTCATAGTATTTGCTTACTGCAAATCAAAAAAGAAAAGAAAATGAAATTAGGGTTCAACGATTTCACTTGGTTAGTTTTTATTTCGATTAATCTGTCTTATTATAGAGTTCCACAAATGTTCCAAAGTGTTGCTAATATATTCATATCGTGGCAAATAGTGGACGATATTTTTGATGAATGTTGTGAAGAAGACAAACAACTTATCATGAAAGCGGTTGGTTTGTATTTGTTTAAGTTATTATTATTTATCAATATAATTTTAATTTCCTTTAATTTCTTTTTTTTTAATGTTTTGTTGACAATATCTTGAATGTTATTCTTCTGCATGCCTTTTTTCTATTTAAAATCATAAGTCGATGGTTATTTCTTACAATCATCATATATTATCTTACAGTTGTGATATTTAAGTTTAAGTTCAATAAAAATTTGTTCTATATTTAGCCATGGAATTGTAAAAATAGCACTCAGCTTTCCAGAATTTTATCTTATTCTGATTGTTCGCAACAAATGAAGCGAAAACCATCACACAATCCACGTTTTTTCGTTGCATCATTGAAAAAAGTTTCCTTCTTTCTTTTTTTTTAAAAAAAAAAACTTCAATAATTTTTTGTAGCAATATTTGACAGCTTAATCAGTAAATAATTTTGTGTATGATTTTCGAATAGTACCAATGTTAGTCTCTTTTATTAAACTTTACTACCTTTATGTTACGTTTTTTAGTTGGTTAGTTACAATGGATTAGTTTCGGGATTCTTTATATACTAAATTTAAAATGTAAAAAAAAAAAAATGAATTATTGCAGTACATTGATAATTACGAAGGCTTAGTGATAGCGGTACATGATTCAAGCGCAAAAGTATGGTCTTTAGCAATACCAGATAGTGAAATTGTGTTTTTTCTGGGTGTTCGTAAAGGGATGAAAGTTGGTGATTGGGTTCGATTTAACTGCACGTAAGTGTATTTAAAATTTGTTTCTCATCTCATTATTATAATATTTTTGTGAATCAGTATGATTTCGATGTTTTGTATCTTACGTTTGAACGTTTGAACGGTATTGAAATGAAATAACTTATATTATTCTAGAAGTTATCAGCTAATATAGTGTAAATGATTATTTGTATATCTAGCATATAAGCGGTTTGAATCGTGAATCTCTTCCGGGAGATTGTTACGTAGTATTTGTTTACATGTTATTGTATTGTAATCAGAAAGGAATGAGACGTGATGTTTTTTTTTTTTATAATATATTTACGTATAAATATTTATTTTTGTAGTTTAAAATCTGTAATGAAATAAAAATTGCTTTTCAGACCATCTAGATCTCCTTATCTTGGCTGTCATTTACAAGGGAAGAAATTTGAAATAATTGAACCAATACTTCCGGCAAAAGCCTTCAATAACACAGTTCAGGTTAATTTTACTGTCAAAAAAAATTTTTTTTTTTGCTTTTATTTTATTAAATTTGATTTAAAAATTCTAAATTGTTTACCAAGGATGAAGATTACTAATACGACTTCTCATATTTATTACTTGAATTATTGTTTGCTTCTGATGCATTGAATAAATAGTTTGACAACTACCATTCATTGTTAGCTCCTTTCAAAGTCAACAAAAGTAATAATAATAATAGTAATAAAAAAAAAAAGAAAAAAAAAAAAACTCCTTTAATAATGAAATATGTTGCTAATGATATTTGATTGCTTAAAACTTTAAAATTTTTGTTAGGTAGAAATTACGACGACTATTGCAATTGATAATTTAAAATATTATCCAACTGGTGAAGTAACTCTTGAAACTGAAATACTTGGAGCGGTGGAATTCAGTCCAAATAGATTTCGACAAGATTATTGCAATCGATGCTTATCTTTGTTTATTTGCAAAATAATGGCATCTGAACGAACTGGTGCTGTTTGGCATGTATTTGGTGTGGTGAACGAAGTTTGTTCATTTTTTTTTTTTTTTAATTTAAACTCTTTTTTTGTTCTTTTTTCTGCTGCTACTATTTGATTTTCGGTTTTTTGTTATTAAATTTCATAAGCGAGAAAAAAATTTTTTAATTTGATGAGAATTTTTTACTATAAATCAAATTTTGACCATGTGTTTTTGCTGTGAATCTTTATCATTCATTGAAGCAATTATTGGTCAGATAAAAATAACAATTATGTTCTGTTCTATAAATATTTTATAGTTCAGTAAAGATGCTCACCTTCATCGTTATTGGAGTAAGCAAAGTTGTTAGATATTTTTATTGATTACAATATTTTTTTTTTTTTTTGGTTTTAAAGAGGAAATGAAATGAAAATTATCTAGTAAAGTATCTAAAATTTGAAAAGATTGATTAGGAATTGGTAAAGCTTATAATATATACAATTCTGCTAAGTTAAGGTTAATTTATAGGAATATGTAGAATTCATGGAACATTCAGCTTCAATTGACAATTTTTCATATACAAATGTTAATACTTCTGAGGAATTTGCATCCATAGAAAATGATAGATGCAATGCAAAAGTTGAAATAAATGATAATTGTTATTCCACCGTAAGTTTTTTTTTTTTCCTATTTGTTATTAAACTTTCTTTCAAACAAATATTAAAACATAAAACGATGTTAAAAAATTGACACATTAATACAATGTGTACTGATCTGAAAAATGATAATGACAATTTGTTATTTTGCATTATCTTTGTTTTTTTGATCAAACATTGAAGCATTTGCTGTAAAAGCCGATGATGCTATAATTTAACATTGTCATATTGATGATTTTCGTTTTTATTTTCATCCATTAACATTCCGAAATATAATTTTGCTTTTCAGAGATTTCTGTGTTTTATTCATTCTTTATCACTATCAGTAATCAGTAATCAGTCATCTATCAATCATTTCAAAAATATTAGAAATTTGTTTCTTTTTTTCTCTCTCTATCTTTTTTTAACTTCCTTCCATTCCTGATTTTGAAGAATTGATTTCTTCAAAAGATGTTATTTCAACATTTCATTTCAATTTCATTTATAATTTCATTATAAATTTTCATTATGATTTATCAGTAATCAGAAATTTCTATTGCATACATTTATTCATTCACTAGCACTATCAATAATCATTTCTCAAATGCTATAGTAAATTATATAGATAGATTTTTATGACAGTAGTTATTGTTTATATGATAATAATATTTTGCATTATTAGTTAACTTTATCATTATGTTTAATTATTGATTTCAGGAAAGTAGACAGCAACGATCAGATTTTCCATCCGATTTACCGGGAACTTCTCAGAAGGTAAATTAATTAATTATCCACTCTGCTGACGATGTATTTTCAAACGAAAAAATGTAAAAGTTAATTATTCGTTGCTAACGATATCTTTTCGAAAGAAAAAAGTATGAGAAAGAGAGAGTTAAAAAATTTTTAAATTTTAAATCCCATATCTTATTAGTGTTTCTTAATAATGATTATATTTCAGGAAATTGACGATAGCTTTTATTCGGGTTAGTTTCTTCTGCAAAAAAATCTTTTTGGCCTTGAAAGATGGTTTCTATGTTAGGATATAAGGCAACATTGGAAGTGAAATTCATGAAAAGACATTAGTGGGACATTTAAAATTGATATTAACTAATATTTCGTTTTCTTTTTTTTTTTTCAATTTTTTCTTTCTATGTATATAAAGAATTATTTAATGTTTTTTTTTTCTCTCATATATAAATATGTAGGAGTTTTTATATATTAAGAATATTCCTGAATTAAATATAAAATTAATCCTTAGAATTAGTCTTTTAGATTTTTCATATAATAATGATGCATATGGCAGTTATAATATGGAAAATATGAAAGAGGAAGAAGAATATGATCCATTGAAAGAGCCAGCTTTTGGCTCAGTTAAGCCTAATATTCTCCAGTTTAATTCGACAGAATATAGCAATGGCAATGATGAATTTAACATGCGAGGTTTTATTTGTTTGTTTTTTGTTTTTATTTACAAATTCATACTTTTAATTAATTTGCATTTCAGTTCAATTTGTTTAAGTGTTATGATGAATAAAACAATTATGAATAATCAACTTAAAATAATAGTGAAAGATATTCCGAGATATTGCGTTAAATATTCTTCAGTTTGTAAATTTTTTTTTGACAAAATTTAGACAAAATGAAACAAACTTATGCAAATATTTATCTTTCAATAAAAATTTATCATAAAAAGGAAGCTATTGAGTAAGTAGAGAAGAATAAAATTAAAAATTTTCATTGATGCACATATTATTTTGAGCTAAAAATTGTTTGTTGTACGATAATATAATTTTGTACTATAAAAATTGAAATTTTTGTTGGAGTTTACCAGATTTCTATCAAATCGGATTTTTTTTTTTTTTTGGAATTTAGATAAATTCTTCAATAGCTCTTTAGATAAATATTCCTTTTAACAGTAATATATTTTATTTACTGTTTTTATTATAGATAATTCTCGCACTGAGCTAAATGAGAAAAGTTTTGAAGGCGGTGAATCTGAAGAGTTAAATAATCAAGCAATAAAATATTGGTTAAAAGCATTGGAAATACCGGAAATTCGTCGACAAATTGAGAAGGCAGATAGAGTGTATTTTTTTCTTTTTTTTTTATTATAACGTCTTAAATTAGCTTAATTAATTAACTTAATTAATCCTTCATATAGCTTAAAAATGCCAATTTTAATTTATAGATTGTACGCAAACATTATGCAAATGATATCGGATCTTAGTGCAAGAAAGACTAGTAAAGATAGCTGGAAGAAGTTCTCTGATCACTGTTAGAGGTAGGTAATAGCTTGATTATCATTATTTAAATCTTGATTATTTGTCGAAAAAAAAAATTTAAGCAACTGAACAAAAAGTTAATGATTTTTTCTTTTGAAAGTTTATCTGTTAAATACTACTTAAATCTCTTTTACATCATTATCATCTTTTATCAACTTAAGCTTATAAAACTTAAATTAGAAATTGATAGTAAATTTCATCTGGAATTCACTTTAATTAGCATTATTGATTTTTTTCTTTTCAATTGTTTTGTTATTTTTTGCTGAATTGGTAAAAAGTTTGTTCATTTTATAGTTTTTTGATGTTATCTGGATAGCATGGCAATCAGGATGTGATGTATCTCAATTCATGAAAGTTTATAGCACAGCAATTGTTTGTTTTAACTTTTATGAAATTATTTAATTTAATTGAAGTTTGTTTGTTTTGTTTGTTTATTTATTAAAATTTCTGATAAAAATTCTTATTAATAATAATATCAAAATATTATAATATTTATATTTATTATGCATACATTTTTTTTTCTTTCTTGCTTTCTTTGTTTGAGTTCTGAAATCTCTGATGTTTTTCAAGCAAAGTAACTCTAGTAGTTAAGTAATTGTGCAATGAATACATATAAAATAATTAGCAAAGAACAAGGAGCAAGTAGGATAATTCTGTTTAAACATAAGAAAACATTATGGAAATATAATGTTATGTAAACAAAATAATTGTGTAAGAAAATTTGAATTTATATTTCTTCATTTTTTTTCCTCTTAACGACCAAATCTGAAATATGCTTAAATATATTAGTCAAAATAATATAAAAAATATCTAAAAGAGATTAATTTCATCAAAATGATTCATTCTTAGTTAGCAAAATTTTGTTTTCTTTTTCTTTTTTTTTTAAACAAAGTGAAAAACGAGTGCCATTTTTAAAATAGAACTTTATAGGTAGACCATTTTGATATTTTGCTGACTATTTACAAAAAGGTAATGAATTCGATAATAATTATTATAAGATTTTTTTATCATGATAAGGTAATAATGATTATATGATTTTCATAGATTAACGCATAAATTTTATTTTACTATTAAATATTAAATATTACTTTTAATTATTACAATAAAATATATCGTATTAAAGATGAAAATAATGAAAAGAGAACTAAGAGAAAATTAATTCTTTCTCAGTAATTTATTTTTTAAACTTTTAAAAAAAAGAAAAGAAAAAAAAATTTTTTTCATCCAATTTCATTTAGCTAAATTTTTCTCAAATTTTCTTCTCACAGTTTCAAATCTTTTCTTATAATAATTTAAAAGTAATACCGCATATATGCTGATTTTCTTTTAACATAATCATTGAAATCTACATAACGTTTTCCAAATCTAAAATTTTTGCTGCTAATAAATTAGAAAATGCTAACAAAAATTAATTTTAATTTTAAAAATTAAACAAACAAAGAGAATAAAGTTTAAAAAATAAAATTAAAAAAAAAAAAAAAAGAAAACCTCATATATGCACTCTTTCGCTTCTCACTCAAATGTGGTTCAGTTTCTAGAATAGCAGGATATGATCGTCCGAAGCGCATATAGCTTGATTTTCGTTTATCCATAGCTTGTTCTAAAAATTTAATCATTAATTAATTAACTAATTAATAATTGAGGAAAAATGTTTTGTTTTGTTTTGTTTTTTTCAAATCGATAATTGTTTTTTATTAAAAAATGAAAATTAAATCAGTTCTCTCTAAAAATTTATCGTTCATTAATTAATAATTTAGGTAATTCTACAATTAAAAATAAACAAAAAGAAATAAACTACGCTACTCTTTTTTCCTTTTTTTTCTTTTATTAAAATGAAAAAATAAAAATTAACCAGCACAAATATTAAAAGTTGGATTAAGACTGCACAATGTCCGAATTTCTCGATCAACATTCTCGGGATCATTTTCAAACATTTCTAAACATTTCACTACTTCCACACCACCATAAATTATCATCATCATTACTGTTAATAATGCTGGTAAAGATGGCATTTGATTTTTTAGCATGATAATATGATTTTGTTGTACTGCTAAAAAAGAAAAATAAATTTTTAAATTAAAATAAGGAATACTTTTTAAAACAAAAAGAAAAAAAAAAAGTAAATGACTGCAATATAACAAATCAATTAATCAATCATTTATTTTTTTTTTTTTAATGACAAATCTGAATGAGAAAAAAAAGGAATAAAAAAAAAATGTTAAAATATCAAAAAATAATTAATTAATTAATCAATTAAAAAATAACATAATAAATGTAACTAATATTACCTACGAATAATCACTGTGACAAAATCAATATGTGTGTCACATGTAGCAAACAATTACAAATATTATCTCTATTATTAATTATTTTTCATATTTTTTTTTCTAATAATTATGCTAAAATAAAATATACTAATTTATAAATTATAAAAAAAAAAAAGGAAAAAAATGTTTATTTTAAATCAGTGCTTGATAAAAATGAAATAGATAACATAAATAAAATTATTATTATAATACTTTAGAAAAAAGCAAAAAGAGGGAAAAGAGATGTTTATCTTTATTTATTCTTACTAACTAATTGATATAATAAATAAAAACTTTTTAGTCAAGAATATAATCAAAAATAAACAAATTAAAATTTAATTATTAATGAGATACTTAAGAAAAAAAAAGGAACGAAAGGAGAAGAAAAGATATATTTATCCTTAATACTTAACTGATATAATTAATAAAAACTTTTTAATGAAATACAATTAAAAGAAAAAGGAATTAAAATTTAATTACTACTAAAAATATAATATGATACTAAAAAAAAAAAAACGAAGGAAAGGAAAGGAAAAATATATATTTATGCTTAATACTTAACTGATATAATTAATAAAAACTTTTTAATGAAATATAATCAAAAATAAACAAATTAAAATTTGATTATTAATATTATACTTAAGAAAAAACGAAGGAAAGCGAAAAAAAAAGATATATATTTATTTATTTTTAATATTTAACTGATATAATAAATAAAAACTTTTTAGTCAAACATAAACAAAAAATAAATAAAAAGCGAATTAAAAAGCAAAACAATATTATAATATAAATAAAAGCATAAAGCAACATTGACTATTTACATTTTAAAATGAATTGAATTGCGATAACGATCATAATTAAAAGTCTAACTTAACTTAATCCATTAACACATTCTTAATTAAATTTCTATTCATTCTAAACAATGAATGTGAGAGAAACGAAGAAAGAATGAAATTAAAATGAATTGTTTATTTAGTAAAAACTCAATTTAACCAATAGTCTAATTTCAGTCTTATAAAGAAGACTAAAACAAAATCAAAAAGTAAACTTTTGAAAATAACAAATGCATTAAGATAAATAAAATTTATTTTTTTCATAAAAGAAAATGAAAAATAATTAGTAATAAATCATAGATCATTAATTAATTTTATATTTTTTGTTTTTTTTTTTTAATGAAATTGTATTAAAACATAAGTTTGAAAGTGAAATTTTTCATCAATTTTTTTTTTTTTTTTGTTTTTTTAAAAAGTGAAAAATGAACTGAAATTTATGGTTTAAAAGAGAAGAATGAAAAAAAAAATGTTAAAAAAAATTTAAACGATGAATAATTATGATTCTAAAATTAAAAGAAATTAAAAAACAAAAATTCAATTAAAAACAAAGAAGCATTATTTATTGAAAATGTAAATATGATCATAACAAATTTTAATTTGTAATTGAAATTTAAGATAATTTTTAAATTGTATTTATTTTTGTAAGAAATTAATTTCAAAATTTAGTAAATATGACAAAATATAAATATTATTGTCAAAAATTAAAAGGAAAAAAGAATATAGTAAGTTTTCTTTTTTTTTTTTTTTGATTTTTTATTTTAATTCAGAAATTTTAATTTCCTATTTAGTCATCCTTTCTTTTTTTCAATTTTCACTTCATTTTCTCTATTTACTCTACTTTTATCAGCAATCTTCGTTTTAATATTTATTTTAATTATGATATTAATTTAGTAAAATATCTTTTGATTAAATTTTTTCATTCATTTTCTCATTTTGGTATTTAAGAAATACTGAAATTAATGAAAAAACCTGAAATTACCTATTAATTTTCAATTCATAAAATTAAAAAAAAAAGGGAAAAATGATAAAATTCATAATATTGTCATAATTTACTATATAAATCCTAAAAATAAATTCAACTTAAGCTGAAATGATTAAATTCAAAATTTGAAATATTTAAAAAAAAATTTTTTTTTAAATCTTTTTTTTAATAGAATGAAAAGTGAATTTGTGCTTTTTAATAATAGTAAAGTGTTAAGTAATTTCTTCGGCGAACTAATTGTAAATGATAATTTTATCATAATAAATTTAGTAATTAATTACTCTTTTCGAATTAATTTATGATAAAATACACTTTTCTATTTCCATTTCCATTTCCGTTTCCATTTCCGTTCATTTATTCATTCCACTTCACTTAATTTTTACATAAACTCTAAATAAACAATTAACTCTATGCAATTTATTTATTACTTTTTTCTCATACCCTTAATTCTTGATTATAAGATTAAAATTAAAACTTTTCACTTTATGCTGTTTTCATAGCCAAATAAATTTAAGTAATACTTTAATATAATATTAAGCAATAAAATATTTGAAAACTTTTCTCAAATTATTAAGATTTTTTCTTACCATTTTCTAAAAAAAAAGACTGAAAAGATTTTTTTTTGAATAGAAAATTTTATTTTGCTTTAAAATGTTACAACTTTATATTAAAAAGTAAGCAATAAATGTTGCCATTGAAGAAGTAAAAAGTAATAAAACAAATAATTTTTTATATCCTTTTTAATAGTATCATTTCAAATTTGAAAAATTTGAATGAGTAAAAAATGAAAAACGATATTTAATTTTTTTTTTGAAACAGGAAGAAATTAAAATAAGAAAAAAGATTGAATAATTATAGCTATAAATAATTTAAATA